CCGAGCTACCAGACAAAGAAATCTGTACATTGTTAGTTAGCAAGGGTTATAGTCGACATGGTAATATTCAAGTAAGTTTGGAAACAGATACATCGGAAAAATACTGCGAAGCATTACAATACTAGTATCTCTATAGTCAAACCAAAAAAACTAAATCATGATCACTTATGACTTCTACTAATAAACATAATTTTTGCAGTAGAAATTTCAAAATTGCACGTCCCCTGCACTTCTAGGCTGAGTTTATAATTTGGCACCCAAAACAAAACGCGCTACAGACGATCGCGCGTGATCAAGTCTTTAGTTTATTATCTTCAGCTATTTCTTTTCGTTCACAACAACGTGTTGTAAATTTTTATCTAACACCCTATCGGCGTCCGTCGGCATGCTTTTTTGATTTACCGATAGTATACGCCAAAATGTATCAAGGGTTCACGCCATTTCTAGCAGAAAATTTACTAAAGCGGAGTGATAATTATTTCTATTGTACATCCATGACCATGCGCTGTAGGGCCATGTACAGAAAACGTTAACGACATGTACTTAGTATAAACTTCAGGAAACTCTTAGACCCCGGCGTTCATATCAAGCTTTGCATATCCTGCTAGATTCTTTAGCGGCGGTCAATCTATATAGCCTGGTGCGGACGCAAAATACTAGTAGTCTGCTATGTAAAGCCACTGACTCGCAAAGTCCCATGGCAATATGTGTAAACAAACACAACAAAACTGCTTATAGATTGCCATACCTATTTTCTTAGGTTGGATACTCCATTGTGACGATAATTAATGACATAATAACCTTTATTGTACATTCATGCCCTATCGGGCTAAGTACAGGTCAACAGATGAAATTGGTAATATACATGTTTGTAGTACAAACAGATCTAAAACTACTAATCTTTCTAATACAGGGGTTCGGTTTCTTCTCGTTTCTTTGTGATGTTGAAAATATAATTTGAGATGGGTTTGTATAGTACAGGATGGTCAAAGCCCATAAGAAAGATAATTTTTTCAATATTAGGCAAGTATTGGAAATATGGGACCGTATTAGTAATATATCTAAAAAGATCATTTCTTTCATTACTATATAAACTACAATAAATAACAAAGTGGGCTTCATCTTCTACTTTGTTTGAGCTACAAAATTGGCAAATCCTTTGCTCCAGAGGTGTGCGGTTGTGCCTTCTTGTTTCGATGCTGAGTTTATGACAGCTGATTCGTAGTTTGGTGATGGTGGTTCTTTGACTTTCGTTTGGGATTTTAAGATAATGTTCTTCATTATAAGTAGATTTGAATAGTCTGTACGAGCGCAGTTTGATCTTTGCGTTTTTGGATTTGTTGTCATCATGAATTTCGCGTAGGAATTTTTGAAAGTAAATGTCTTTAAAACGTTGGTGAATGGAGGAGATGGTTGCGTGCACTTTTGAAGCAATTGATTGGGGAGAATGCCAAACAAAGGCATAATTAGTCAGGACACGAGACGTTTCCAACAGTGGGAATTCCTGGACACTTCGCGTGTCCCATTGTGTGCACAGGTTTCCTACAGTGGACACGCCGGGATGGGACACCCGTGGAAACTTATGTACACGGCTGGGACATGTCAGGTTTCACCAACATGTCCCAGCTTGGAAACTTGTAGAAATTCGGTTTTCCGTCAAGTGATACGTTATTTTAGCTGACTCCATTTGCCTAAAATACAAGTCTGTGTGAATTGAGAAAGGTATTTGCTGTATTTTCAGACATAGACGAGTGCGCCTCAAACAACGGTGGATGTTCCGTGAATTGCAACAACACCATCGGCAGTTTCGAGTGCTACTGCGGAGATGGCTATGTCCTGGATGGAGATGGGGTGTCATGCAATGGTACATATATAAGGCAACAGCAAGTAATTTCTATGAATGACATCAGTGCGTTGATGAATTTTCAACTAATGTTTGTTGAAAATCAGTCATTAGATAAATAATAATAGGAAAAGTACCATTAAGCTGGTACCAATATTTTTTGTCAGTTAACTTAGAAGAATATGTAACCAATTTAATTTTTTTTATTCACACCTAATTGTACGTGAGCCCGTGGAGCCATGGAGCGAGGAATACTGATTTTTTTTTCATTTTTCCACCAAGTGACATCGCGTTGTCATAAACAAGCGGTAGCTAGAATAATGCCGTTACATTATCCTGTCTCTGACAGAGATTTTCACACAATTTCTGCATTTTACAATGAGTTTTATAATACACTGTCATTTATCAGTCGAGTGACTTGTCGTTTTAACCCGTATTTCCGCCGGATTAGCCAATCAGGGACGAGTATTGTTTGTGATTTAATGCAGTTTATGTCTTACCCAATTAGGGGTGTAGCAAATAATAGGTTAGACCAAAGCCATATGCTAACTGTCGAAAACTAAGCACTAAGACTGAGACACTGGCTCTTTCAACAGTTTTAAAAACCACGACCCCTCCACCGACAACTCCTGTTACAACCACTACAACAGCCGCCACCAGCACAGCGGTCTTGTCAACAGCAGGGGCTGCTGTTTCCACTACAACAGGTATCTGGAAAGACCATCTAATGTTGTGAGAGAGTTGTGTCTTTCTTTTATCCATCCTTTATTTATGAGAAGCTCAAGTCAGCCTTCAGACCGCTTGATATTGAAGACACGAGGAAAAAGGTAAGAGTCAGACATCATATAGTAACAAAGTGATAAAGTATAAACTTATATTAATTTTAGGTCAACAAATTTACAGAAAAAATCATACACATGCATGGTAAAAAAATAGATTCACTTACAGTAGAAACTTCCTGGGAGGACAACTGTAGCGTCATTTACCATATTCTGTCAGAGTTTAAAGTGGCAAACTGCCCAAAACTTAACGTTGGGGCAACTGCACGGTCTCTCAAAAGATGGTTCTTAGAGTACCCTCATACAAGTTGCCTAGAACACTGAACTAAGAGATATCCAAAAACATTTATATCGAGTTCCAGGGACATTCTTTGACTTGGATAAAATATTAGTAGAAGGAGTTTTAGGAGCAGTATTATAAGTGGAAAATTCATGTGCATTGTGTCACATAGACGATCCCAGGACGGGTGACAACACTGATTGCAGGGGTCTTAGCACCGTTGCTTACATATTAGTTCTATGTGACTTAGGGTAATTACCACCATGAAAAATTGAAAAATGGAGGTATTGTTTTTGGCGTGTCTGTGTGTCTGTCTGTGTGTGTTCCGCAACTTTGTAGGCGGTATAACTTCATAACGCCTGTATGGATTGTGATGATATTTGGTATGCTGATAAGTCTTAGGAAGACGAAGGTCAATTAAAAGGTCAATTTTGGGCCTCCTGGTGGATGACCTTGGTACTGCAGCAGAACTTCCGGTGTTTGTATCTTTTGTCCTGAACATGCTATGCCTATGGTCTTGACTTTTTGGTGACAGATAGATTTTCCTGTCAGGAATAAGTGGTGTGGATTTGGTCTTCCTAGCAGCTTGTCCCGGAACTGCAGGGGACTTTCTGGTGATATCTTTAAAAGCTAAGAAGTCCAGATAGAAACACCGTATTTTCATTATATTTGGTGTATAGGTAGCTGAGAGAGAGTTGTACGTACTAAAATGCAAATTATGCAAATGTGGACTTAAGTTGCATAATTAAGGAGGAAATTCTATAATTACAGTGTTTTATATAATAGTTCTTTTATACATGTAATCTATTTAATCTGTGGCAGGAGGAACATAACAACAGATACCAATTAAGCTAATGATGACCAAATTTGCATTATGTGAAAATTCTGTGACTCCTTATTGGTGCATGATGGGAATTTTATACCTCTCGACTTGTGTAAGTTAACACCACTATACATATATTATGTTAACGTAGATGTCATTTGCATAATTAATGAGGACATGTCGAGGGAAGTATGACAAAGCAAGCCCATATTTCATGTGGGTATGAGATCTCGGAACTCTTGTTTAACTTGAAAATTGTCAGAGACTTGCTTGTAGTTGTCTTATCTAAAGATCCCTTGACTGGTTTGGGTTCATCTTCAGGTTGTTCGGATAACCACCAAACTTGTCTCTATTGGGCCAGCGTTGGTGAGTGTGTCGCAAACCCCAATTACATGCTGGTGAACTGCCAGTTGAGTTGCGGCGTTTGTAGTACCGATAGAGGTAGGTATTATCCGAGGTAACAACGGTGGTAACCACCCACGCTTTGAAAATCATACAAGGAATAACATCGACGTGTCTACATGTGGGTACCTCTCACTTATCCTCACTATGTCGGATTCAGAATCTTCCCATGACTATCTGGCTCCATTTCTGTCTGTCACCCATCGCTACAGGTTCATTCCATTGTCTTCCCTGTCAGCTATCTAGCTGTTTGATGTTAGGTCATGTGTGTAGTGTGGTCTGAGGCGATTTCTTTGTTTTTTTTAATGACTCGGGTTCTACAGTAAGAGTCTACAAGTGTACTACCTCGTCCTTTTTCCGCCTACAGTGCCCTACAAAACGTAGACTCCTTTGCCGTATTGTTTCAGCAATCGACAGTATATTCTTGTATAGCTCACGTTTTGAGATGTTTTTAAACGTTTATCAGCATTCTAGTGCATGTTAATTTGATCTTCTCTCCAGGGTGTTTGTAAGTATTCAACTCTTTGACCCGGTACGTAGCGACCGCTGGGAATTTTAAAACCCTTTCCTGGCGTAATATTTTCTCGTGACTTACTCCTAAGGGCAATTTAACTTGGGAGGGGCCAGAGACTTGTTTATAGTTGTCTTGTCTAAAGGTTACTTGACTGGTTTGGGTTCTCCTCTAGATTGTTCAGATAACAACCAGAATTGTGGCCATTGGGCAAGCGTTGGTGAGTGTGCCGCCAATCCCAATTACATGCTGGTGTACTGTCGGTTAAGCTGCAACGTCTGTAATGGTAAGTACAGATGAAGGAACCATCGGAGGTGAATCAAGGTAACCATCCATGTTATGTATAGTATTGCATTAACTTTCAGTGAGTAACAGTGAGGTCGTGTGGCGTACGTAACGGTAGAGTGTCCGACTCGGAACGAAGAGGTCCCGAGTTCGAATCCTTCCAAGCCACCGATCTTGGGCCGTTGGGAAAGACACTTTATACTTTAACACGCTTTTTCTCACTTCGCCCAGCTGTAAATGAGTATACTGCAAATAAGTTGAAAAAACTTGAGTGTGCCGTCACCACGTCTTGTCATTACATGTTTTGAGTATTAAAAAATGAGTAACAGTCTATTTTAGAAACCCCAAATACTCGGACCGTAATTTTTCTTTGTCAGCATAATATACAATGGAAATGTTCAATTGAAACGTATTAATTGAATTCTCTACTTGAATAACCATTACTGGTGGAGCCCTTCAGCAACTTATGCAGTAACATAAAGTACCCCAGTCATAATACAATCATTACCTTTATCCATCAACATTGTTACGCAACATAATTACAACAGCATTAACACAATTACCATTTAGATTTTTAAAAAATGCAAATCATGAAAATATCACAACTGTTAATGGAGACGACTTTTAAAGGACATGAAGGAATGGGCAGTCTAGATCTGTAAGGCAACTGATTCCATACTTCTACAGCTCTAGACATGAACGACTTTAAAGGAGTGTATCTCTTGTTTATTTTGAGTATATAGTGGTATTGCCTTGAAGCAATATGTGCGATTCTTTTGATTCTCCTGACTGCTATCATAGTGTGCACTAATCGCCTAGTTTCTTTAAGCTTAAAAAATTCAATCAAAATCATTATTTACAATCATAAATATTTCTATGCTTCTTAATTAAACGGTGAGGTTCCTATCCATGTAAATAAACGATAAGGAAGGAAAAACGATCCTAAAGACGTTTTAACAGCATTGCGAAAGATTAACAATCCAGCAACAATGTAATACTTTATATTATATTTTATTACTAGATCCCAAATATATCGAAGCATCGCAGTTCCTTATCAAGTACCTTAACCTTCAGCCTCCTGGATAACCGGATTTGAGAGTTTCCTTTTACACAACCAATATTCCCCTCACCTTGTTGGCGGTTCAGTGCCTATCAGACACCTTCCTCAGAGCTTCTGACTGGAGTTCTGCTTCTCGACGCTACATGTATATGTAGCCGATGTAGGAGGCCCTTCTGCGGCGTGAACACAATCTCAAATGTTTGTACCCCCCCACCCCCACCCACCCTCACATTACAAACTCAGCAACGTTTAGGATTGTGTTTTGGTTCTGTAAAAGGAATCTATTATATTGAAATAATGTACCAGCCTGATAAAACTATTTTCGGAAACTACTAGATAACCGTTTGACACCAAATTTCACTTGATTACCGAGAAAGGCAGCAGGGATAAGGGCAAGGTTGAATATAACGGTTAGATTTTCGTATTTGTAGTTGTCTAGTCGATCACTTCATACATTAATGCTCAATTTCAACAGCCACACAGTCAACCACGTCACCCACGACAACCCATGTACCAAGTACTACAACACAGGCCAGTACCACGCCAGCAGGGGTCCCAACCACGTCCCCACCACCACCAACTCTTCGACCCAGCACCACAACAGAAGCCAGCACCACGACTGTACTTCGGTCAACAGTGACAACAGCAGGGGCCGCTGTACCAACCACGCCCCCTACAACATCAGCTGTACCAACAACTTCAGAGGCCAGTACAACTGCAGTTAGGTCTACAGCGACGACAGCAGGGGCTGCTGTACCCACCACGTCCCCTACAACGTCAGCTGTACCCACAACTTCAGAGGCCAGTACAACTGCAGTTCGATCTATAGCGACGACAGCAGGGGCTGCTGTACCTACCACGTCTTCACCAACGACCCCTGGACCCAGCATTACAACACAGGCCAACACAACTGCAGTAGGGTCAACAACAGCGACTTCTGTGACGACCACGTCTGCAGCAACGACGCCTGCAACCAACACTACAGCGGAGACCAACACAACTGTAGTTTGGTCAACAGTAGGGGCTGCTGAGTTCAGCACATCTGCACCCAACTCCACAACAGAGCACAACACCACAGTGGCTCTGTTATCAACATCGACTGCCGCACCGATTCCGTCTCTGACAACGACACCTGCAACCAACTCTACAACAGAGAACAACTCCAATTTGGTCCGTTCAACAGTAGGTACTGCTGTACCTAGTGCGTCTCTACTAATGACCCATGCACCAAACACCACAGCAGAGGCCAACACTTCTAGTGTCGTTCGTTCAACAAAAACGGCCTCTGTTTCTACAACGCCAGGTAAGATATTTCAATCTTTAATTTGATTTGATTTATTAGACTGTATAAGACATATGTATATAGACAGGTCAAGTTGTTTTAGGTACCTCATACACAAATTCTGTTAGAACTTAAGTTAAAATATTCAGCAAAATCACCAGGAGTGATTTTAGTACAGTTGAAACTATTGCACTAGTGATGCGGTACTTGGGGTAGATTTACACTACTTCTCCCATCTATGGGTTGAAGGTGTATGCGTCACGGCATGTACAGACAGCGGTAACCGAGTACCAAACAGATACCATGTGCCTAGCTAGTAGGCAGGTTTTCCCGAGCATTAAACTGTAATTTTCCTTTCTCTTTTGACAGATATTGATGAGTGCATGACGGGAGCTCATGTGTGCCTCCGCGACGAACTCTGCTTCAACAGGGAGGGATCGTACGCCTGCGCCTCGTGCTACCCCGACATAGCCCTGGTGGGAGGAGGGGCCAACTCTTCGGCTCCTGTCGACATCAAACGGAGGGTGCCTTTTACTGTGCAATCTACCGTAACAGTGGACTGTGACGTAGCCTATTCATTCCTCTTTAACTGGTCTTTGTACGCGATGGATGGTGGCCTTCCCTCCGTAAAAATTCCCCTTCCGGAGAATGTTGAAACTGCCGGATCTGAACTCACCTTAACGAAGAACGTTCTGCCGTACGGGAAGGTTGCCATCCGGCTGGAGGTCACGGTGGAGGAGACTTTGTCTGGACTCCGTGTCGTGACGTCAGCTGAGCAGTGGGTGAATGTCTTATCTTCGGCACTGGTGGCTGACATTGCCGGTGGCTCAGCAAAGTCACTCGCACGTGGCTCCGACATTGTCCTCGACGGTTCGTTTTCTACAGACCCGGACGCCATGGTGACAGACGCGGCAGACTTCACTTATAACTGGACCTGTGTAACAGAAATGGGTTAGTAACACAACAAGAAAACATATATTTTGACTTAACTAACTTAATTTAACTTAATTTTAACTAACGTTTCTACGTTTACAATGCACCCTTATCGTCACTTTGTTTCAGAATGCTGATCGTTGGAAAGCTTTAAAAAATAAATTACCACCAGTCTTACTAAAATAATTCATATTGAATAAATAATGTTCATGGATAGAATATTTTAATTGTATATTCTTGCCCAGATGGACTAAGTGCACATTTGACCATATGTCGTGTAGAAGACATAAAACATAATATTGAAAATTGCAATATGGAAAAGCTGCATTCTAACGCTAACTACTAATAGTCAGCATTTGCCAGTAACACTATTTGGTGATCTATCAATTTCACAGGAACTTCGTGCGACGACCTGTTTAGCGATGGAGGAACCAACCAGTCATATGTTATCTCTTCTGAGGGCGTCGAAACAAGTGCAGGCCGGTTGATTGTGCATCTTAGCGTGTGGTTCCCTGGCAGATCCCCTGGAACGACGTTTCAAATCTTAGAGATTTTCCCTGTCGGATCTCCATCTCTATACATCAGGTGACATTTTATTTTATTATGTTGTGCAGATAGGAAATCAATTTGTATAGAGTCTGTTGTATGTATTTTTCATTTCAACAAATACCTACTACATATTGGATCGAAAATGTCAGATTAACTCCGTAATTGCGTAAGTAAATAACAAAAACCTGAGCAGTAGTTTGTTTGGTTACACCAATTGTGAAGGTAAACATTATGCATTATACAAAAGTTACCTTTGGAGTTCTTTTTCATTTCAGGTGCTTCAGCAACTGTAACAGGAAAATCAACCCATCTGAGAAGCTCGTTCTGGTGGCGGAGTGTACAAACTGTGAGGAGAACAAACTGGTCAGTTACAACTGGACATTACAGGAAGTTCCGGACGGGTTTGGCAGGTCCGATTTAAACTGGAACACCGAGAGCACCACGGGAAGGAACCTACCGGATGTCGTCATCAAACCCGAAGTCTTTACGGTAAAACTCGCAATTAACATTCTAAATAACGCACGTACCTACTCGTTCATTCGAAAGTAATTTCATCATGTTGGTACTCATGCAGTACTATATCTCACCTGCTTACATATGGATAAGAAAGTCAACCCCAGTGAACTGGGACGAGGGGGATACAAACTTAGTCACATTTGGGATTGTGTTCTCGCCACAAAAGAGACACCTACATCGGCTATATATAGCGATGCGATGCAGAACTCCACTTGCAAGCTCTGGGAAAGGTTTCTGACAGACATCGAAACGTAAGCAGAGGAGATACAGTGCGAGTACAGGATGTGTACACTGTCACCTTCATCATAATAATAACAACGACCAATCACTTCACAACGTAATCTCGCGAGAGTTACGGTAACAGACACTGACCGCGCCCGCATCCACACGAAACATTTACTGATACGTGACGTGAGCAATTAATCAATTATATCGTCCACCATCCCTATTAAGTGATGGCTGAGGTGCTTTGATATATATGGCCTCCTTACTGCCTCTCGCGAGATCACGTTGTGAAGTGATTAATTATCCTGATGAAGGTGACAGTGGTCGCTGGAAATTTGATCTCTGTATAATTTGTGTGTTGGAATAAAGTTCAACTCTTTACTATGATTACTACTAACACGGATGGACTTTCATAATAAAGGTAACAATCGTCCTTGCCCATGTATGTAGGCTTTAGGGGACTATACATTAAGAGTGAAGATGACGCTTCTTGACGGTCGTCATGGGTTTGCTGAGTACAGTTTTGTACCGAACGAACCACCTGTGGTCGGAAGCTGCACAGTCAGTCCGGAAAACGGCACGGCCATGGTGACAGAGTTCATCATCACTTGTACGGGTACGTAACCACATTTATTATTAACATGAATATGTTTCTAGTATTAGTATGTATTTTTGTACTTGTAATACGAGCAATTGCCAGTACTTTTTTATGAACAAATTCTAGAGCCCACTTTCCTAATTAGCAGTCCACCATACTATATTATAAACCTAAGAGATAGGGGAATTCTTTTTACACAACCAAAGAGTCTCACCTCGCTGACGTTTCGGTGTCTGTCAGACACCTTCTTCAGAGCTTCTGACTGGAGTACTGCATCTCGCCGCTATATGTAGCCGATGTAGGTGGCGCTTTTGCGGCGAGAACACTATCCAAAACGTGGCTTAGCTTGTACGCCCCCTCGTCCCGGTTCATTACAGGGGCTGACTTTCGGATCCAAACTGCCTCCTTGATCCAGCGGGTTCTTCTATTGTCTTCTCTGTCTATAACTTTCGCCCCCTCCCAGTCAATTACGCAGTTGTAGTACTCCAGTCAGAAGCTCTGAAGAAGGTGTCTGACAGACACCGAAACGTCAGCGAGGTGAGACTCTTTGGTTGTGTAAAAAGAATTCCCCTATCTCTTAAGTTTTACCAACCTGATGAAACTATTTTCGGATATATTATAAACCCTAAGGCAACACAATGCAGCACATAACATAACAAGATTCTACAGCTAGCTATGGCAAGAGAGCTTCATACATTCAATTAGTTGATACATTGTAATTTAAATTTGTCACAATTAATATCGAGGAGCGTGTATTCCCACTTGTTCTTGTACTCACTTATTTTGCAGGTTTCTCTGACTCAGACGAGCCTCTGACTTACACCTTCCTCTTCAACACGGACGCTGCTTCTGAATTCACTCCGCTGTACACAGGAACGGTATGTCATTTTGGAGTGGTTCCGTGGACTTGCCCATTGCTATCTTTATTGGTGGCTGAACGTATTATTTCTTTACATCTATTTCTTATCTTGCTAATAAGACATTTGGGTAGCTACAACAGCTACATTAGCTGATTTCATGGAGGCCTAATACATACGAAAACTAATATGAAAACTAATGCAGTATCTTGACATTAAGATTAAATCTATATATGTTTATGTATATAGTATATATTGATTCTAAATATATGAAAGATAAGCAGTCGTTTTATCATACAATTATGCTATACAATACTGAAATGCAGTTTGTATGTATTAAAATGCAGGAAATTTTAATGTATTTTTTTTTTCTTCATAGGATCCAACAACTCCATCGCAGCTGTTTCCAGTGGGCCAAGAGTCCCGTGGCTTTGTCGTAAGAATCCGCGTTGAAGTGTCAGACTCCTTCGGGGCAACATCACATGTCGAGACTTCTGTCAAGGTAAGGTATATGGCAAATACATAACAAAGCTTTTACTCAATCATCGGAACATAGTTCCGCCCACAGAACAGGCATCATTAGTACGCTTTGCAAATAATGCAGTTCATTATATAGAGCAGGGAAAGTCATATTCCTTATAGAATTAGACAAACTATGCATTATAACTTTCATATGTTCATATAGATACGTGTACACAGTAAATCAAATTTTTCTGTAACATACATGTAAATGTAGAATGATATCTCTACGATTTTTTACTTCTACTTTATACATGACCTGTACTTAGCCTTTAGGAGCATAAATGTGCACTAAAGGTATTTTATTTATTCTTTATTACTTTGCAGTTCCATTTGAAAAGTAGACACAAACAATAAAACCTCACTATAACGCAGCTCACTGTAAATGTAACGTAAAAATATCTTCTATGTTGTAGGTCGTGGCACTTCCATCAGAACAGTCCACAGCCGTAGCCACGCAGCTCGTGGTTGGGGAGAACAGTCCTCTAACCCAGCTGGTGCGGGAAGGAGACGCCAAGTCCTTGGTGCAGATGTCCAACAGCGTCACGTCTGTCTTAAACACGGTCCCGACTAACGCGTCGGCCGAGACACGGAGGGCAGCCACTGAGGTGTGGATCATAATCACACTTCTAAAGAACGTTCCACAGCTCTGAAATTGAAGATGGATTTTACGTTGTTATCCACTACGCCTCATACGACGCCACTGATTCTGTAATATACATTTAAATGTAGATGATATAATTTTTGCTTCTGCATTATACATGATCCGGAAATGCCCTATAGCTGGATATGATGTTTTTGGGAAACAAGCTTTTTATGTTTTTTTAATCAAGGACAATAAATTTCAAGAACCTCGATACTACAGGTGGATTTAGATATTTCTTCAAATGTAGTAACTCACTCATCACAAACAAAAAAGGTATATCTATATAATATATTCCTTTGTTATTAGAAAGAACTAGTAAAATTCACGAGCTCCCCTTTATCAAAGCTCACGTTCGCGCCCTTATTGTTTTACTGATTAATAAATGAGTAGGATGTTTTGTTTTTTACTGCACTATGTTCGATATTTTTTGCAATACATTGTATGAATGTGGTTTAATTGATTACCCTTTCTTAAATATCCATAAATATTTCATTTTGAAACTGTTTTTATATCATACAGGCCAGAGAGGCTGTGGTAGCTGCATTGACGACCATCAAACCTACCAGCGTGTCGTCTGTGAACCTTGTAGCGAGCGCGCTGGGCTCGGCCACAAGCGGAGGGGACGACGTGTCAGCGGATGCACAGGTAAAAAAGACCTGTCTTCAAGTCGTCAAGACTTTTTGGCAATCTTGCAGATTTACTCGGTCGTCTTGTCAACCTTAATAATACGTCAAATAATGCTAAACTGCACTTTATTCTTAGAGGCTCCAAATTGTTACCCTCTATGTACAACTTAAAACGATGAAACTCACTCAGATTTACATTGAGATACCAAGCGCTTCTAGCTCTGCTTGACTGTTTCTAACAGTCCAAATACTAAGTACGTGTTAATGAGCCAAAATTCTCCTCCTAGCTCTGATTGGCGGGATATAGGAGGCTACCACGTCATCTTATCTTTCAAATAATTTCGTTAGCATTTAATTTCACATTTTAATGGTGGTGGGACTACGGCGCACATATATGTCAACTTTGTGTATTTTATGTACACATGTGTATGTCAACTTTATTACCTTCGCCAAGAAGGTTATGTTTTCAGGGGCGTTCGTGTATGTGTGTGTGTGTGTGTGTGTGTGTGTGTGTGTGTGTCTGTCAACACGATAACTTGAGAAGGCCTTGATGGATTGTCTTGATACTTGGTAGGTGGGTAGGTCTTGATGAAACCTCAAAATGATTAGATTTTGGACCCCCTAGCGGCTTGTAATGGTACTGCAGCTGAACTTCCGGTTTTGATATCTCAAGATCCAGACATGCTAGGGTGACGAAATTTGGATGGTAGGTAGCTCTTGTGCTGGGGAAGAAGTGACGTGAGTTAAGGCCCCCTAGCAGCTTGCTCTAGAACTGCAGGAGGGTTTAAAGGACAAATGTTTAAAAGAGGATAACTCAAGAACCCATTGATGGATCATCGTGATTTTTGGTATGTAGGTAGCTTAAGTGATGCTTGACAAAATGATATTACAATTATGCGAATATTGATGTAATTTGCATAATTAATGAGGAAATTCTATAAATCAGCTGCATTCCATGATAGAAAGTTCAAGCTTGTAACATATGTTATTAAGAACGAGAGAAACACAGGCAAATATTGATTATGCAAATGAAGACTTAATTTGCATAATTAATGAGAAAATGTTATAATTGCGTAGTGGTAACTGCCTGGAATTTCATACATGGGGTGTTTGAAAGTTAAGTGAAGGTGAACATAATTAAACATAACTTATTCAAATAAGGACCACATTTACATAATTTATGAGAAAATGGCATTCTTTGTTAAGATAAGACTGTCTTTTGGTGGAGAATATGATCAACAGACTGATATAATTCATGCAATTGAGGATCCTATTTGCATAATCAGGGTGATTAGTATATTTCTTATTCATAAAGGCTAACATCATTTGGCGAAGGTATGAGATCGTGGAACTCTAGTTTGTGAAATAATTTCTTTCTCAATTTCTAGGTTGCCACCGCAAGGTCCTTAAAGAACATGGGGGGAATTTCTGCAAAGCTTACCTCTTGAGGAATTGGAGATAACTCAAGTAGAAAAGACATCTTCCGTTATGTTCGCAGGTAAGATATGAACCACAGATTCTTCCTAATTGATAACGAATATCGAAATTCTTCCGTCTAGATCTAAGCTACACGTAACATTTCGTTTCTTTACTTCCGCAGCTGTTGTTAACGTACTAGCGAGCTCGTCGAAATCATCAGGCCAGGGCATCGACACTGCAGAGGGAAACACTACTGACACTAACAACCTTGCAAAGGTAACGGTGCCTTTTCAACTGCACACTTACTCTAACATGGGGTTACCATTTGTTTTGTGTGCAATTTATCCTTGTGTAACTATGTACAATGTAGTAATGAAAAATATGTGTGACCTTTTACAGCGCTATAATATCTAAGTCCCTAGATGGTGACCAAATCACTATTGACACGTGGTAAGGAAAGTTATGGTAAAACTAAAATCATTATACTGGAAAACAACTTTAAACAAAATGTAATTGATTCTGAATCTCATACAGTTGGAACAAACTGTCAGGATGCCACTATACCCCAATGGATGACATAAATTTATGTAAAATACTATGTTCGTTTATTTCCTTGTTTATATACAGTTTGCAAATAAAAACAACAATATGTGCGGGCAACATGTATTCTTAATTTAGAAGAAACGAATGTTACGAAAATGAATCATACAAAACAGACTAAGTAGCTACCTAATTTATTGGTAAAGCAGGGCAATCAAAAAACAATATAATAATAACAAGAAGAAGAACAAGAAAAAATCTAAAGTTATTATGTATAAGACAAATATAAGCATAAATGCCAAATGATAACTCAAATCAAATAATCATAACATATGAAAGCAAGAAAAACAAACAAAATAAAATGTCTGTCTCTTTACTGTGCTTAAGGCGAAAGAGGCAGTGGATGGCATCATTGGTGTCATCGACTCTCTGAGCGAACTGGTGATCAGCCGGAAACGACCGGACGCCGAGCCGACAGTGATCAGCCAGGGTCCCTTCCAGATCGCCCTGCAGAGGCAGAGCTGTCGGGACACGGGACCCCAGATAGTCCGGCCCACGGGACAGAGCGACACTTGGTTCCGGATTCCGGGATTCTCAACTCTCTTTGGACAATCTTGTGGACAATCTATTTCCATGGAGGTGACACTTTACGTCATTATACATTTTTTCAAAGAAATCCACCAGGATTATTATTAGAGCAAACATATATGAAATAATTCAATTCTATAGCATTTTTTTTTTATTCCAACATTTCATGACTGGACATGGTGACGGCACTCTCAAGTTACATCAACTTATTTCATACCGTCACCAACGCAGAGGACAAATATTGAACAGGACAATACTCATTTTTACTATAGAATTTGTAAATAGACGACTTGGTAACATCGTTTTCAAGCTAAAACTAATCACATTACTCCATAGTTTTAGCCATAAGCTGGCCTGGATTGAGCTTGTCAATGTTTAGGATCAACAGAAAAGTCAACGCGTAATTTTTCTCTGAAAATATCGTATATAGAGCCGTGTCTCAATGTGCTGCAGTTAGTACCAGATACGGTTCTAGATAGCCTCCTCGTATCCAAGAACGTAGATATGCCCTTGTAACGGTGTCGGATAAAAGTGGACTATGCAAAACTATGGTTCTGGATAAAGCATGGTTCTGGAAACAACACCAGCAAATGTTTAACATGGCGTAACTAAGTACATTTCTGGACACCACAGAACTACGAAACATCCCTCAATCCGTACTTCTACGCCAACAACTCAGACAAGATCAAGTCACCCGTGGCGTCACTGAAGTTCAGAAGTGATTCAGGTCCGGTAGAGGTCAATGACCTGCAGGTTCCTATTGACGTCATGATGCCGCAGAAACCAGGTACTGTGGTGGTGCAGACAGAGCGTGGGGAGACCACACCGACTGGACAGGACGTCATGTCGGTGAGATAATACTTTTATTACTGCAGTACCTGTATCTACATTCACTGTAACGGCCCGGACTAAGACATCTTACGAGCGTCGTACGACCTTGCATGAAATGCATTCGTAGGAGAGCCCTGCATGAAGAATTTCGCTGTCATTACAAATCTTCTCGGTAGTTTGTTCTTTCAAAGTGTGCTTGAAAATTCCACGGTATTACAATCGTCCGACGAATGTGACCATGACGTACGTTATTTCTGCAACTCTCATGGTAATTTTCTTCAACACTAATATTAACCCTATCTATACTGGGCTTTTTGGGATCCGCAGGAACATTTTAGGAAAAGTCACCAAGTTGGGTGACCCTAGCGCAAGCCGTTCGGATGCTATCTGACAATAAAAGTTGGCGTGGACACTTTTAGCACCCCCTTGTCTAGATAGGGTTAAGGCTCACATGCGACCAGCGACATGTATATAAACTAAGAACATGTATTTTCAGGTGCATAACTTCACCATTACTGAAGGTGCCGGCTCTGTTCATGTCACCGTCACACCTGACGTGGAAGGAATACCTGTCCGTTTGTTCCTCGGTATCAACAGCGCCCCCTCCCGACAGGTATTTCGCAAGGCAACGTCTGTGCCATCGGCAGTCGGTTCGTTGTACTCCATTCCATTAGGAAACAACTCTTACCTTCGACCGGATCCTTTCCAATGGCTGTTGTCCGCTAGTGACTTGGAACTGACCGGATCCGAGCGACTTTTTCTTGGTAAAGACCCCTTTAGCCTACCTTTGTTAACCAAGCAGCGCTGCAAAAGTACAAACTTTATCATTGCCTGGCAAGCATTTAGGATACAAGATAAATGTTAACATTGGAAATAACATTTGATATATCTTTCTGGTGGTAACAATATATATAGTCAATCACTGTATTTCTATTAGCTTTCTTTCCTAGGTACCTTTGCAAGCCTCACCCCACTCCCATAGTACTGTAATAATCATGTATTGATATGCGCATACATAGTAACCTTGGCCCGTCGTGTACTCATTATTATATTACATCTAAAAGATACTGTTATTAAGGGTTATCCAACGAAAAAAAAGACATTTTTTTTAAAATCTGATCACAAGATTTTTTTTCTGATCACGTATAAGCAGCTTTGTGATTATGGCATGATCTTCATATCTTTCCTACCACCTCCCACAGGAGAGATAACATATGGGTTTCTTGTTTATTTTAAGGCGTGGATCACGAGCCTTTTACAAATGACATCGATACTAACGATGACACAGTGATGTGGGGTGACCTGTCAGAAGCTTTGGAACTGGGATATGGTGGAGTAAACTTCACCTTGAACTACACTCTCAAGATCTTCACTTCTACCTGTCTTTTCTTCGACAACGATCAACAACTGTGGAGCACTGAGGGATGTCAGGTATGTATGTGGTTCTAGTCATCAACAATCTAGGATTCAAAATATCCGATGTATAATGTTCACAACAATTTCATATATCTTATTAACAGAAATGTTACCATTAAAGTTACACATTGCAGCAAATCCACCACGAGATGCAGCTGCGAACACAAAAAACGTGCCCCAAAACAACACCTACCCACGAAAAGATATCTCCCTCCCCGAAGATAAAAATCTAAGAACAACCGGACCAGCAGAAAAACCCGGTATAAAACACGTCTTCTGCCAGCTGAAAGAGGTTATGAGGAACAGCCCATTTGATTGACAAACGTAATTAAGTTTTCACATAGTAGGCCTGTAGTCACCAGGGCCAACAAGGAGGTCACGTGGCCATTATAGAAAATACCTTTAGTCACCATCCATCAGTTACTGACGGTGATGGGTAAGTTTTGTTTTTTCAACTGATTTCCTTAATTTTTTTTAATTGATTTTCTTATTGTTTATTTCTTTTATTTCTCTAGGTTGGTTCATTGACGACCACTTCATTGACCCACTGCCTGTGTGACCACCTCACCGCGTTCGGCTCCGACTTCCAGTTCTTCGTGGCGCCGAACTCCCTGAACATTCTGGAGGCCCTGGAAGGGTTTACAAACATCATGGAGAACCCGTCGGTTGTCATCACCATCGGAGTCCTGTTTGGACTTTATCTTCTGATTGTCATATGGGCAAGATGGGAAGACAAAAAAGACGAACTAAAGGTAAAGCACATTCTTGATAAGCTGAACTAAAAAGAATAAATGAGTAAAATAATAAGCTCAAAGGAAAGGAAATAATGAAGTGCTTCCCGATAATTTAGCTCACGAAAATTAAAGACAGTCAAACCGGCCCGATAGGACACTTGTCTAGGGTGGACACCTGTCAAAAGGGGACACATTAGAACAGTCACATTCATGTTTACATAGTTTAGACCCTGTCCCAGGAGGACAACTGTCTTCCCAACCAGAGGACACTTTTTTTGCAGGATCCAAAAGTTGCAGTGTTGAGACACCAAAGGTTGCAGTGTTGAGACACCAAATGTTGCGGTGTTGAGACACTAAAAGTTGCGGTGTTGAGACACCAAAGTTACGGTGTTGAGACACCAAAGTTGCGGTGTTGAGACAACAAAGTTGCGGTGTTGAGACACCAAAGTTGCGGTGTTGAGACACCAAAGTTGCGGTGTTGAAAGACTAGGTTGCGGTGTTGAAACATTGGGGTGTTACCATTTGCCCGTGTCGGCCACGGTACATAGGACAATATTGATTGACAGCAGCCCAGCGAGCCCAGAATTCTAGAAACAATATTTTCTGATATAATGTACGAATACTGGCAGAACATGTGTGAAGTACTTTATAATGCCCACCATTTTGTCCAAAGGACATTTTGGCTCCGTCTCTTGAGTGTCCTCTACCGACATGTTCGAAGCCCTGGCCCAGAGCAGCGTGCAACTCGCAATGTGCAGCGTGGGGTGCTTTATAATATTTGCATTGTTAAAATCTACAAACAAACACTAACAGGATCACGATAGAGTATACATTTTGATGATCCTAGCTTAGTTCGTTATGGTTAGAGTAGAACAATATACCTGAGCTAACTAATTCTTTTGGTTGCGGAATTATTTTACTGTACTCAAAGCTAGGGTTTCTATGCATACATCATTTTCTTTTTCTTATTGCAGGTGGGTGCAACGGTGTTGAAAGGGTCAAGTAAAAGCGGCCATACGTACGAGGTCATGGTGTACACTGGAACCCGGGCCAACGCTGGAACCAGTGCAGAGGTAGGGCATGGGTATTCATTGCAATGATCTGAACGTAGTATCAATTTAAACATTGTCGCAGTCAGTCGCCAAAAGTAAAAGCAAATACAAAATAAGACAGTATATCAACTCGGAGTACATCACTCGTGGATATCGTTAAAAATATGACGACCAGAATCTGTGCGACTAGAATTGTTTGCGATTCTACTATATATAGTAAGTACAAAGCCCTGGCCGATTTGTTTTTCTGTACATTGGGATATTGGCTTAAAAGACAAAGCGTTTCATGTTACTTTAGATCAATGGTTGATCAGTCAGATTCAAGATTTACAAATAGGACCACCCTTACACAATTTAACATCTTGTTCGTGATCTCTGTCGACACAGACTAAGATCGAAATCTGTACTTGAAGGATCTGCTATTCTTCATGATTGTATTTGCTACTCTGATATCTGTATTTCCATGCCCCGTAGGTGTTCCTGGTGCTAAGAGGAGAGTTGGGTCAGTCTGTTCCGTATGTGTTGGAAGACAAAACCCGCATCACGTTCAAGCAAGGCGCTGTAGACACATTTGTGGTGACGTCAGCCTTTCAACTGGGTCCAATATATGCCATCCATATTTGGCACAATAACATCGGCCCTGACCCGTCCTGGTAAGAGTTTTCTTTCGCCAAGTTATAATATTTCATATTGAATATTTTGGCTGTATGGCTTTTGATCTATAGAGCAATGGTTCTGTAGTTATTCTATATTATGATGAGCTGAGAAAGTATCAAATTTCAATTTGGTCTCTGAAAGGCCTTAAAATTGGTTTAAATAAACTTATTTTCGTACATATTGTCAGTTTCCAATGATCATGTCATGAATGAAATAGGTACCTTGACCAAGTCATCATTACTGACGTCCAAGATGGTGATAAGCACACCTTCCTGAGCAAAAGGTGGGTTCGCTATTTCATTTGGTTTTAGCCTAGAATTCACGAAACCACATTTTCTCTTCTGTAACATAATTTATTGTTCAATCAAGCTTGCAGTCCTCGTCGGACAAAACGACAGATCATATACAAGATTATCAAAATCTGTCGACATCAGCAATAGCAGGGGCAACACATCGACCAGCGTTCAGCGGTAGCGTTCGAACGAGTTTTGCAATATTTGCAGAGGATTTCACAATACACGGCTTGATTCGTATATTGTGCAACAAAAATCAATACATTATATTTTAATCATATATGTCTTTACTTATTAGCCTTGCATCTCTTGCGTCTGTTTCCAGTGTAAATTTTTTTATATAACGATCTCTTTGGTGACCTTGTTTTCCATGGTGTAATAATATATCAGCTGGCTGGCAGTAGAAGAGGGAGACGGGAAAGTGGACCGGGTGCTGTATAAGGCAAGTTACGACGATCTGGTCCGCTTCGGTCGTCTTTTCTCCACCAAAACGTCCAAGGACTTCCGTGATGAACATCTGTGGTTTTCTGTGATTGGTCGACCAGCAACAAGGTAGGAGTTCATTCATCATGAACCTTCAAGTTGGTTGACGTACATAGCTATGAATACTGCTACTTCTACTACTACAACTGCACAATTACTACTACTACAACTGCTATTACTACTACTATTACTACTACTAGTACTACTACTACTATTACTACTACTAATACTACTACTACTACTACTACAATTGTACAGTTACTACAATACCACTACTACCGCTACTATATTATGTACTACACCTGTATAGTTACTACTACTAATACTACTACTTCTACTACTACCACTACATATTACTACAACAAATTGGAGGCTTATATGCTTTTATAAACAATCGTTGATTGACCTATCCTAGTAATTTGTAACAATATGTTCATAACTGTATGCTGTATATGCTCGTATAACGTACAAAGGATATGAAGATTCTTTTGGAGATGAGGTATAGCAGCTTGCATAAGTGTATCCAGAACTGTTAGGGCAATTATAATTTCCTCTCTCTCTCTCTCTCTCTCTCTCTCTCTCTCTCTCTCTCTCTCTCTCTCTCTCTCTCTCGTCGTACGTACTAGCTCAGCTAGTGAGGCGGAACGCTGAAGT